CCTACAAATTGCCCCCTCCGTTACACAAACCGTTAACGAATCTATTAAATGCTGATGTGGCAGATATGGGTCCTACTTTTTAATGACGTGAACTTCCAAGTGGATAAATATATAATAAAAAATTCTCTACTTTTTAATAAAAGATTAAAATCATATTAAAAATTAAAAATTCTCTCCTCCAAGCCCTCTACCCAGCGACTACAATTCTGATTAATTTGCCGACTACCCAGCATCTACAATTCTGAAAATGACTCCACTGTAAATAATTTTTGATTTTTTTAATGTTTATTATTAATTTTCCATATGGAGTCCACGTCATTAAAAAATAGGACCCATATTTGCCACATGAACAGATTCATTAATGGTTTGTGTAACGGAGGGGGCAATTTGTAGGTTTTCCGGGGGTTTGAGTATGTACTCGTAAATGTCCCTAAAGGTGGGTATGAACTTGAAAATGAACCTATAGTTTGGGGGGTTTTATGTAGTTTGTCCTTTTTTAGTGAGAGTGTAAGCTGTTGATTTTATTTGGGATGAAGTCTGATTTTTCGCTTTTGTTTGGGTTTGTTTGTTTAAGATTTTTTATCTCCTTTCGTGTGATTCATCTTGATGTGTGTGAGCTTTGTTGATTGTAACTCGTTCAGCTTTGTTATAGGGCTGGAGGCTTTGTTCAGATGGAGTTCTTGACTTTTTTTTCTTGTCATTATCAGAAAAAAAAATGATGGACATATTCTCGATCTTCTCTTGTACTCCTTTTTCTATATATATTCAAAAACAAATACAAAATCAATTCTTGGTGCATGTTTAAAAAAATAAATAAATAAATTCCTCAGTCTGGTTCTTAGGCTCTCTCAGGTTTGATTCATAAAGGTCCCTCTTATGGCAGGTGTTAGCTAGGTTATCTTTTATAGGGTGTCTAGGCCATATGACCAGAATCAAGCCGCAATTTGAGAAGACACGGAAAGTAAGTGGACCTAGAGCTTTACAACCTAGCCAGGTAAGGGTCGCAATTTGAGAAGACACGGAAAGTAAGTGGACCTAGGGCTTTACAACCTAGCCAGGTATGGGTGATGTCTCTGCAATGCTTTGAAAATTTGTCACCTTTTACATGATGGATATCTGAATATATATATATATATATATGCGTATATCTTTGTACTTACGGTATTGTGCTTTTTCTCTGTCGCTTTTGGTGAAGTGGGGCATGCTTTGCCCTTGTGATACTCCAGAAGGTGAACCTTGCGGACTCATAAAAAACTTGGCCCTGATGACTCATGTGACAACTGATGAAGAGGAGAGCCCGTTAATTTCTCTGGTATGCTCGTTATCACACATTTTGATAAACCCATGGAGGTGTAATTTTAGTTTTCACTTATTGTGCTGCATCATACAATAAGTGATGGCATATTTAATATTTGCAGTACCTTCTGCATTTGCATGTGTAATTGTTAAGTCTTATATGGTTGAAGAATTGCATTATATTTTACTATATTATGGCGGAGGGTTGTTTTGGGTTAATGTTTATTGTGCTGTTATTGGGAAGGAGAAGGGTGTTTTTTTTTTCTTCTCTTTATCTTTTCAAAATCCCAAGCTCTAAGAACTAGTGTGCACAAGACACACCTTTTGGAGCGATGCACATGCTTCTTCAAAAAGTTCAAGTCTTCAGGAATTTTGGCTTTTCAAAGGGATGCATGAGGCATTTCCCTTTCGCCTCATTTTGAGTTGGGCCTCAAGGAGAGCCTGTCTTTTGCCTTTGAAAACTCTGGGTATTAGGTGCTAAATAATAAAATTGAGTATAGTTCTCATTCCTAAATTTTATTTATACATTAGATATTTGATTCTTGTTTGTTATAGGTTAGTATATTATCGTGCTAATGTTGGTACTCTAATTAGGTTGCAATTTCTTGGATACTTATATTAATTTGCGGTACAAAAATGTTTTTATAGGATTAAATCAAACGTTTTGGGCCTCTATTATTTTAATATTTTTCAATGAAATCACTGCAATTAATAACGGAGATTATCTCTCATGCCCCAATTACTCATCCAAAGGTCATAATAGTTGGCGCATCAGTGCGCCAAGCGCACCGTAGAATTTTCCCTGTATTGTGTATGTCTGTCCTTGTTTGTTTAGTTATGATGTAATCTTTGTTGGAGCAAAAGATCTCCACCTTTCTCGAGCAATGATTATACCCTGTAAGATGAACAAACCTCGAGGTGAGGGGACATTATGGTGTGGTGCTAGCCAAGGACTCTCTGATGGAAGGGTTGATAATTTCTTAATTTGCATTGGGCCCCTTCAAACAATTCTGAATTCTCAGTCCATTTAACCCAATTAAAGGTGTTAGTCTTGTTCATTCGTGTTAGACACGTAGCAAGACGTGGTTAATTTTGGTCCCACAGACTTCTTTTGCACAACTATTTGTGTTTCTTTAAAGTAATAAAAAAGTTGAATGTATATATGCAATGAAGCCACGTAAAACGGTCATTAGTACAGTTTTTGGGGGTTTTTTTTTTCAACATGACCAATAATAACTTTGTTTGCAGAACATGCACATTCCATAAATTTAACTGAGGAAAATCCTGATTTATACTTAATTGCATCAGTTATTAATTACGGGGACTTGAATGAAAAAAAACTACTGAGAAGTGGGAACTAAGTAGTAAATAGCCTAAAATTGTAAGGACCAGAATTGTAGTTTCGGCAAAATAATCTTTTGTTAAAAAATAAAAGTTTATTATGTTTTGCTGTCAATTAAAAGATAGGATTTTATATGTTTTCCTGAAAACTGATTTAAGTAAGACCTGCAATTTGTTGACTTCCAAAAAAAGAATTGGACTTGTAGATAATATCTAGCTTCAGCAGATGTCCCCTATAGTTTGAAAAGATATTCAGAAAGAACTGAACATTTTTTGTTCCTGTATGTGCATTAGCTAATCCACTGGCCATATTAATTTTTAGTTTATTCCTTTTTTAGTGCAAAAGGCTTACACTTTGTATTATTTAATTTCTTGTGCAATAGTGCTACTGTTTGGGTGTTGAAGGCTTGGAAGTACTATCAGGTGAGGAGCTTCACACACCATATTCTTTTCTAGTTTTGTTCAACGGAAACATCCTTGGAAAGCATAGGAAGCCACAGGTAATAACAGCTGTTCAGTTTGTTTGCCAGTCACAAAAATGGCCAGGTGTGATGGGGTGTCCTGCCAGAAAAATTTGCAGATGATGTTTCTGTTATATGATTTATGTATTAGTGACTTGGTGCCATTGTGTATTCCTCTTTGGTGATAGATGCTTATTTCATTCAATAATTTTTCTTAAATCTTAGCATTTTGCTGCTGCAATGAGAAAGTTGCGTAGAGCTGGGAAAATTGGGGAGTTTGTAAGTGTCTTTGTCAATGAAAAACAGGTAAATTCTTAACTTCCAAATTACTTTTTTCTTCCTCTTCTAATTCCTTTTTATAGCTGCAAACTACTACGTGTGATTCTTTTCCACTTACAAGGCATGCGCTTCGTGGGCAATGGCATCTACAATCCCCTTTAGTGAGCCTGTAGAGGCTATTATTAACTTGATGTAGGAAGACTACTCGACTCTGATGCAAGAAACCCAATTTGTAACTTCTAACCCCATGTCAAACCTAAATGTACCAGGTTCCCAACTTTTCAATTATAATCGAGTAGAGTCAAATGATGACTTGATACTCCTCTAGTAAGATCCCTGTGCCTTACATGAAGATAAAGCTTGTCCAATGCTGAAAAAAATAAAATCCTTTCAAACCACCGCTAAATTATTTTTTCTCTTGGACCTATACAATTCGAGCTCAGTTGTCACCCAATTTTTTTTTCCTGTACAGCTGATTGAACAGCCTTATGGTCCTTGTCACTTTCCGCAATTAGAATTTGTGAAGCAAATTTGGCAACATTAAGTCACCCTCCTGTCATCACTTTCCCCATTAGAATTTATGAAGCAAATCTGGAAATGCATATAATAACAATCTATCATGTTGTAGCAGTTTGAATAGAATTGTTATGTTGTTTGATCTCTCCACCTGTAATGATAGAAAGTAAAATGTTTGAAGTATAATTTATCATTGTAGTCTCCAATTCATATTTCTGCTATTTTTTTTCCCTGGAAATAGTTTTTATGATTAAATACCTGACACAGTTAAGAATTTTATCAGCATTGCGTTTACATTGCTTCTGATGGTGGTCGAGTTTGTCGTCCGCTAGTTATTGCTGATAAGGGCATATCAAGGGTGAAAGAACATCATATGCTGGAGTTGAAGGTGAATATACTTTTTGCTGTTTCTCCTGCCAAAACATTTGTTACCAGAGCTGATATTTTTATATCTTTTGCTTTTTAAGGCTGGAGTCCGCACATTTGATGATTTTTTAAGTGATGGGTTGATTGAGTATCTTGACGTTAATGAGGAGAACAATTCTTTGGTTTGTTCCTGTCTAAGCCTTACTTATGAAGTTTTTCATTTTGGAGATGATGTACTTGATAGACAATTACTCAACATTCATAATTATCATTTTATAGATTGCTCTATATGAAGAGGAGGCAACAACGGAAACAACACATATCGAAATAGAGCCCTTAACCCTCTTAGGTGTTATTGCTGGTCTGATTCCATATCCTCACCACAACCAGTCTCCTAGAAATACGTACCAGGTTTTCTCGTCTTACTCTTTGATAATTTTTTTTTTCTTCAGGTTACCCAAATTTCTAACTGTATGATTCTAATTGAGCCCTTTGGTCTTTATATAGTGTGCAATGGGAAAGCAAGCAATGGGAAATATTGCATATAACCAGGCAAGTAGTTTGTTAGTACATGGCCCCTTTTCCCCTTTGGCCAAAGAAAGAGGCCCTTCTTCCCCCTTGCTGTTTAAGCTCTTTTAGAAAAGATGTTTTTTATGTTTCCATGGTGATCTTAAGCCTTTTTTATGTTTGTTTTCCTCTTGCACATTGAAAGTTACCAAAATGTGGTTATGTACTTTCATCATAGAACTCCTGTGTTCAGCATTTCTTGCCATTTAAGTTACAACCATAATCTTGACTTTTTT